TTAAAATTTTTCATAAAAAATATAACAAAACATGAAGAAAATAGCTAATTAACGAGACGGTTTTACAAAATTAACAAGAGATGGGTAAAAAACGTAAATATCTTTAACATTTTCTCATACATTTTTTTTATACAAGCATTTTAAATTTAGATTAAATTTAAAAGGAGAAAAATGTAATTCTTAGTCTTTATTTTTTAAACAAACTTTATCAACGTCCTTGTATTTTTATAGTAAAAAATTTGATCGTCAAACTTTAAAAAACATGTAGATTGTGTCCCTCTCAACTTTAAAATCTTGATAAGTTCTTAGAGATGAGAAATTAAATTCACACTTTTCTAAAGTTTGAGAACTAAATATGAAAGTATAGAGACTTGGACCGCATTTGCCAAAACTATAGAGATTAAAATACATTTTTTAAAAATATATATAAAATAAAAATTATATCCATTGTCAAACAATTAAAAAATAATGAAGTATGACAAGATATGCTCTATTAGATAATATTTTATATAACTAATGAAGTAAATTAGATAATATTTTTTCATCGAGGAGTAAATTATGTGTACATACAAATTACAATAGTTGCGGTTAAAACTTATGATATCATGCAAACCATACCCAATTCTAGTAGTTCTCCGGTTAACTATTAATTAATTTGATATAACTAATGTGATAATAAAAATGAATTTATGAATCGTAAATTTATAGATATAGAAAGTTTTGGTATCAATAATTGGATAAAATAAGATGCACAAAGTGTAAGCATATATAATAGTTGAGAAAAATAAGAAAATAAAATCGACGAAAGAAATCTTAATATTAAAGTCATGTAGTACGTTAAAAAAGCTAGAGAGAACTACGCAAAAAAAGTCTTGATATACACTTGTATTGTAGCTAGCTTAAGGGAATGAAGAAGGATAGTTGGCACGCCTTAACTACTATTGCTTCAGGAACAAAACAGTACACAAGAGTAGTAGTTTTGCGATGTGGATGGTTGTCGAAAACGAAGTGGCAGGAAGAAAGTGAGGATAAAAAAGATCACCAAAGTTTTGACTCCTACTCCTAATATTATATATATTCTACTGCATCGACATGTTCAGAGGCAGAGAGCTATATTAATTATACCAGTCTCGTGGGCTAGAACCTGATTAAAGTTTCTGAGGGGCACGTTCCTTTTCAATTTCCAATTTCGTTGATTGCTTCCAGTACTCCACAGCTTCACTACTTACAATATCATATATATATATATCCACACACAGCCTGTTCAACTCCTGAGAATTATATTATATACGATCCAGGACTATAATGGTTCCAATAGATGACACATAACTAAGTTTTATTTATCCTTTGAAAAACTCTGTTAGGATACATGAAGATTAAGCAAGACTAAAGACACACACGATCACCTTAGACCCAACAATAATTCCCCATATGCCATGTGAGCATAATTTATTTTTTTTTATAGAATTTTATCTTTTATCTATACAAATTATAATGATTAAAACAAGGTTTCAACTTAGAACTATATGCTTATTATCCTAATCTCCAATGGATCTTAGTGTTCACAATTTTTCTAGTTAATTTTTCAGCCGGAATTTTCCAATAATAAAGAAAACAGAATCAATGTGTGTTTGACACAGAAACTATGCAGTGCAATACGTGGGTGGGTGTGACATAAAATGAGATGTATTAGATATATTTAATTTCTATAATATTAGAGTTGCTTTGTCTCTTGTCTAAGTTTAAGCAACATGCATAAATGATAAATGATAGATATATTTTCTACTTAAGATATGAAAAGGTGGAGAATTAGTGCGGCTGCAGGTATTGTTGTTGCTTTGATTGATTAATAATTGAGAAGATGCAGTGAGTTGAAGATGCTTTGCTTTGAGGCACTAAGAGTAGGAAAACCTAATAACTTGATGCTGAATTGCTGGCGAAGACCTTTACGTGCCTCTCTCATTACAATTCCTTACGCTAAGAATCTCTCTTCCCTCCTTACTCTATAGTCTATACCTTACACCACGGAACCTCTATTCTACACCACCACCGCAGCAACCTCCATCTCCACTTCTCACTCATTTACCTTATTCTTTACTTTTCTTCATTCATTTTGTTTCCCTTCTCAAGAAAATTCATTCTTCTAGAACCATGTTAATTATACTTTTACATGCATTACAAAAAATTACTAAAACTAATTAGGCATTGACTTCATCTTTTTTAGCACAAAATTTCATCTTATGAAAATAATCGATTAAATTATTAATATTGTATCCTTCTGATTTTTTGTTAAGAGTGTTTAACCGAGTATTATAACACCCACACCTTTTATGCTCGAGATTGGGGGATAAGTGTATTCTCTCGATTTTTTGGCCTAGAGTGCTTGATCGAGTAATCCAACTTAACCTCTAAATCTTTCATGCTTGAGGCAGGTGGTAAGTGTATTCTTCTGACTTTTTGTTAAGAGTCGTGTTAGACTGAGTACCTCAACTTAACTCCTACATCTTTCATGTTTGGACTGATTAACAAGTGTACTCTCTTGACTTTTTGCTAAAAGAGCCTAATTGAGTACCTCCATCTTAACTACTACACCTTTCATATATTTGAGGCTGGTGGACAAATGTAGTCAATCAACTGTTTGGTCAGCCCCATACCTCAAAATAGCCTAGCATATTTTCAACTCGTGACTTATTTTCCAAAATATAGCTCGATATATTTCTAAACACGACTAATATTGGACACAATATCTAGTCACTGATGATCATGATTGAATATCAAAATACGATATTCAATAGCGAATAAATTTTCATATAACCTTAGAATTTTTGGGATCATAAAGACATAATAATTAGATATAAAATCTTCATTCTAGGATAAAGATAAACAAAAAATACTCTCTAAATGTTCTAGATCATAATAATTAATTTCTATAGTATTCATCCCAAATATTGAAATAAATATAAATATTATGAGTCTATACTAACACGTATTGTTATTAATAAAATAATTATATTGTCCTATCATCACATCATGATATAGGTCTATGATGTTTATCATAAATAATGTTTATCATAAAACTTTTATTTAAGATAAATTAAACAAGATAAAAATTATCCTAAAGCCTAAGTACATGCTTTTGTATAAATGCATGTTTGTATGAAGAGACACACGTTTCAAAGTTTTGATGAGAACTAAGAAATTGTTGCTTTAGGTTAACCATGAAATTACTGCTATTATCTTAAGACAGGTTTTTATTTATTTATTTTTTATTTTTTTACGGAGGAAAGATTTAATATATTGTTATTGCCTATGATTTGTAAGGATTGGGTACCTCTTATATCCTCTATCTTCTTTCTTATTAATATAAGTATTTTTTTTTTGTTGTCCAAAAAAAAGCCATGAAACTATATGCGTCTTGTCTGTCTTACTCTTACCATATCGAAAATAATAAAATTATGAGTAAAAATTCATTAAATAAAGTATTATACATACAATTTTTTAAAATAAATTTTACCTAATAATAAAAGAATTAATTATCTATACATTGTTGGTGTAAAAAAATTTTACACTGACAATCAATTATATTTTTTGATTATGCCATGTCACTGTTAAAAGTAAATGTGTTTACAATGATATGACACAATTAAAAGATATAATTGGTTGTCAGTGTAAAAATTTTTACACTAGTAATATATAAGTGATTAACTGATAATAAAAAGTGTGCTTAAAATATTAAGTTAGATAGTACTACGTTATTAACATGTTTTCTCTGGCTAAAAGTCATTCAAACCGTAATACTTCTTCCTATTGGTTGGTTACTACATTAATACTTTTACCAGGTTGCTTAGCAAAATTCTTTCACCAAACAGTTAGCTCACTCTGAGAACGAACAAACACACCGTTACTTTATCTCTCTCTCTCCTTTTTTTTTTTTTTTTTCAGGTAAAGAAACAAACATTATTAATTAGATAAAAGAAACACACCCTTATAATGATGGTTTTCTTTCAGAGATGCGTATGACCCTTCAACATATAACTTTGCATAAGTAATTAAGATCGCGTGAATTTATATTTTTAGCAACAATGCTGCCTCTATATCGATCTTCTAGTTAAATCAATAAAATAACTACTTAGATTTCACAATTTCTTGTTATTTATAATGGCTATAATTTTGAAAAATATTTTTTAATAATGCCAATAAATACACAATATTATAGTCAGTACGTATTTCCTTTATGCATGCTTGAATATAGTTTATATTTGTTTATGTTAAGTTTAAGATATATCTATAAAAAAATTAAAAGTAATAATAATATATGAACCTTTTTATTTCTGTAACTTGTTTTTGAAACAAAACAAAAATATTTGATAAAAATAAAAATAAAAACAAAATATGAAACTGATTTTAATTTTTTGTACTACACATATTTATTTATACATCAATGATTTTGGATGATGTTTATGGCCGGCTTGATTAATGTAGACTGTCCTGTGTCCACTGAAGTTGTGATTAATTTGTACAATAAAAAATATGATTGGGTCAACAGCACATGAACTTCCTCATTATTAAGCTAGTTTAGTGGCATTCCCTTAATAGCCAATCATGTAATAGAATGGCAACTACACAGCTCGAATTATATATTAATCAATGGAAGATATAATCTCGCTTCACAAGTCGTAATTAAGGATTGTGTTCATCCATATATAAAAATCCTACACTTGGAAGTGATTGGTTGTTAACTAATATATGAGGTTAAAATTAGTTAAATTAAGCTGTATATATTATATACTGCTTGAAGTAATAAACCAGTTGAAGAAGGAAAAGCTAATAAAAGTAGAGGAAAAAAAAAGGATGGTGAAAGTTTGGAAATTGTGTGTGGTTCCAGGCTTGCAAACCAATCCTCCAGAAAGGAATCGTTGCCAAAAAGTAATGGGTTTGCTTCAAAGCCAACCGAATCTCACTCGTTTCCTCGCCTCCTCATGCTTAACATTGCATCTTTCTCTCTCTCTCTCTCTCTACACTTCACATCTATAATATAACACTTCCAAGTTTGGAAACGCAACTCTGGCAAAGCCAAAACACGTTACTCTTAGGGTTACCTCAACTTGAAACCATTGTTATAATTAACTTCCACTCTCTTCATTGCTTCTTCCATTCTATCTCTCCCTCTCATAACAACATTAACCTTTGTTATCGTCTTGTCTTGGAAAAAAAACATGCATCAGGAGCAAGAGGATATGAGGAACTACGAAGCATGTAAGGAGGATTACATGCAAATCATGAAGGGCAAGCGCACGAAGCGTCAAAGGCTTCCATCACCACTTAGGTTAACCATGTCAACAACATGTTCAAGCGCAGGAAGAAGCAGCACCGACAACTCCATAGGATTTGATCATCTCCCTACAACCTCAAGGAACGAGGAGGAGGACATGGCCAATTGTTTGATTCTCTTAGCTCAGGGCCACAACGCCCCAAAACCCTCACGCAAGTCACCACCACACGTGGCAGCACCTGGTGATCACAATAACAATGAAGGGCTATATCTTTATGAGTGCAAAACCTGTAACCGATGCTTCCCTTCATTTCAAGCCCTTGGTGGCCACAGAGCCAGCCACAAGAAATCTAAGACAAGCACAGAAGAAAAGCAAGGAGTGATTACCACTTTTGGGAATGAAGTGGATCATCATAAGCACCATGGTGATTGTGACCATCCCACAAGCACCAACCTCACCTTGCAATTATCAACGGCTTTGTATAATAATAACAGCAGCACTAGGACTATTGTTAATGCTAAATCCAAAGTTCATGAGTGTTCCATATGTGGGGCAGAATTCACATCAGGGCAAGCCTTGGGGGGACACATGAGAAGGCATAGAAATCTTCTGAGCACGCCCACAACAGTATCTACAATTAGGGCAAATGGTGGTGATGGGAGTCCTGAGGTTAAACACAAAGATGTTTTGGACTTGGACCTTAATCTTCCGGCACCTGAGGATGATCACAGAGAATCCAAGCCGTTTCCTTTTCAGTCCAAAGGAAAAGTCATTGCCTTCTCAGCTACTTCTTTGGTGGATTGCCATTACTAAAGTTGAAGTCTGTCCTTTTTTTTTTTCTTTCTGTAAATTAGCCTCACTCAGAATCCACCTGTCTTTAGTATTGACCTATTCTTTATTGTTATTCCTTGTATACAATTGTTGATTCTTTCCATTCATTCTATGGTATACAATTCAATTTGAATTTATATTCATTTAGAACTTTTCAGTATATATATATATATATATATCACAAGTTTTTTTTTCATTTCTTTTATTTTAATATCATTATACTTATTAATTTGTTTTTATATAGTTCATTGGTCCTTTTTCTAAGTCAGTTAAACCGCTTTCATGCACGTGAGAAAATTAAGAGAGAATAGGGGAAATATTAAAGCAAAGGAGAAGAAAAGTGCAGGTATGAATGATAAGTTCCATCAAACCGAAAAGCAGAAAAAAAAAAAAAACAAGCAAAGTCATTGCCTGACTGACAGACCTTGAAGTTGAGTTATATCAATATGCAGTAATTAAATTAAGCCGTTTCACTCAAATCTTGACTTAATTATCCCCGCTGTTTATCGCTGTGAGATGAGTCCAGCTTGCAAATAGTTGCTTCTGTATTTACCGTTAGTTAATTAATTAAGTAAATGTTACTCTTTATTTTGTGGTTACATTCTCCGCAATCAATGCTTCAATAAATGTTACTCTTTATTTGATTTGATTTGATTTATTTTATAAATCCCACATTCTTTTTAATTTTTATTTAAATGAAAATAATAAAAATGTTTTTTTTATTGATAATCATAAGAACAATTAGAGATTAAAAATTTAAACCATAATATCATAATATAATTTTGATAGATAAAAAAGAACTATAATAACAGTTTTTATATTATATTATCCACATCAGATTATTTCCATGATAAAAATACAAGAATCAATTATTATATCTAAAAACGCAATTAAAAACACTCATCGGATCAATGACTTAATTTGAATAGATAGGTGCGTGCGTGCACTAAATTTGAAACCCTCCCATAACAACAACCTTCTCTAACATAATGGGAAAATAAGAAGCGAGTCACCCATCAACGTTTGCTAAAACAAAATAAATCTGCATTTTGCCAAAAAAAAAAAAAAGTCTCATTCTCTCTCACTAGGGCTTAAAACTTGTGAAAGTATGATCTTGGAGCGCCTATATAACAACACGATCTTATCATCTCAGCTTTGTTTTCTTCTTCTTTTCTCTCTTAATTTCTTTTGTTAGGGTATGAAAATCGTAACCTAAACTCTGTATAATTTGTAGATATTATTTCAATCCAAGTTCATTTGGCTTAAATTAATTGCTTGCTTCTGTTCTCATTGCTTTAACGAAATGAACTAGAAAATTGGAAAAATGAATTAGAAATTTTAATGAGGTTAATTAGGCAACATTGCTAGTGATACTCTAGGAATAGGATTTATTTGTTATGAGATCTTGACAGATTAATTTTTTATCCTAATGCATGCTATAATTAAGTATTGCTAAGAAAATAGGTTTTCTGGTTAGAAAAACTGTTGATATAATTCCATTTAACTTTGTAAGATTTGTTTTCAAATATTTTTAGAACTTAGATTGGACAGAATACTATTGATCTTCAATTTCAATTTTAGAACTTGGATTGGATAGAATCTTGATTAGTTATGCGACAATTGGGAGGACTTACACCTAATATGTGCGTTATAAAATTCTTTGTTTTGCTCACTTGTTTTAGTTTCATTCGTGTAATCCAATTGCATTGATTTTGCTCAGTTTTAACAATTGTAACCAAATAATTGTTTTTTAGGTTGAATTCAAATAGTGTTAATTTATAAAAAAAAATTATATTTTACAAATCTCTTAAGATAACACTTGTGCAGTTTAGTGCATTTAATTTGTCGAGTCTGCATCGATAAGTTAATTAACAAAATATTTGGTATCAAAGTTGACATGGATGAGAGCGAAATGGTATTGACCAAAATTTGTTAAGAACACTACACCAAAACTAGTTTTTTGTGGCAATTAACTTATTATTTAGCGGCCATATAAATGGCCATAATTTTTTTTACCAGCATTTAATTAATGGCTGGTGTATCCAGTGTCGCTAATACTATTACCGACATTTATATAAAATGCCGGTAAAGATCTACTAAATTGTCGAAAAAACTTATTTCTTTTAGTGGCAATTTTAGTAGCCATTTTAAAGGCTATTAAAAGTTATTTTTTTCAATTGTCTCCTTTACTTTAAATAATTTATTCCTATAATTTTATTTTCTAAATTCATAACTTATATATTTTTTTATCTCTACTCGATATGAGATTTGTAAGATGAGAGTTGTCTTTTATTTATATATTTTTTAATTATGTTGTCTTTTAAGACATGTGAGATTTATAAGGTCAAAGTTGGTCTCTAATTGTTTTATAGCACTATTGAAGTTGGTAACAATGAGTGATTTGATACCAATTTAGAATAGTGAATTAGGAGTCAACCCTATAAAATGAACCTGTAAGGTGATAGTTATTACTCACTTATATACTATTTAATTATCTTATCTCTAATCAATGTGGGACTTAAGTTTTTTCTAAATAATTGTCGCTAATAGTAAACTTTAGTGTAATATAAATATATTTTTAGTGGCTATTATATATTAGCCATTAATATTTTTACATATGGTGGCAATTAAATTATTGCCATTAAATAATTGTCATTAAAAATAAATTTTGTTGTAGTGTAAACATATCTTGTTATCTTCTAAATCTCCACTGATTTTATTTTTGTTGGTGTGGATTTTGCGTATACTCAATTGTGACTTGTGAGAATGTTGGACAACAACCAATGAATGATTTCCTTAAGACTATTTGTCTAGACAGATCTAGCCAGAGGCTCAATTCAACTACCAGGAAGGTACTAAGAATTCATCATGATTCATGTGTTCCCCCTCGGCCTCACATTATGAAATATAGTGTTGTATACAGTTTTCAAGTGCAAACTAGTAATTTTCTACTGATCTTGAAATTTTTCCCAAAAAATTTGTGGAAGAAACTTATCCAAGTATCTAAACAATTGATGTAGTTGGACATATGTTAAGGAGAAAAATTAAAGTTTCATTTTGTCTATTCAAACTAATTATGGGTATGTTATCATATTGAGTTATGTGATATTGCACGATCTCACTGATGTGGATGTACAACAAAATATTTCAATAGAAAGGTAATTTGGGACACACTCAATTCATGGGGAGGTATTTGCCATCTCGCGTTTATTTAAGTTAAGTTGTATATTTAGTCTTTCATTTTAATTCATAATTTAGTTCTCTATAATTTTAATTAAACAATTTTAATCTCAATTTTGATTCATCTGTCTAATATATGATATATTTGAAAAAATCTTTCTAAAAACATTTCTATGAGAGAAAAAAGTAGGAAAATAAAATATAAAATGAGTTTCCCTATAAAATCTATTTGAATATAAATTTAAAAATATTTTTGAGAATTTTTCTACTAAAAATAACTCTTTATCTTCAATAGAGAAATTATATAAAAAAAAATATTTCTAACTTGTATCTAAAGAGACTCATAATCTAAAATTAACTTGTGCATAAACTAATTTATAAAAAATTTCTCTTATTAACTTCTCCTTAGAAATGAGAGTTCATGCATAAACTATTTTTAGTTTATGAAAAAACTTATTTCAATTTTTCTTACTTGCATGTCACATGCATGCTATGAAGCAACAATATGACATACCACAAAGGTCTCACTTTACACGAGTAATTTTTCTGAATTTAAACAGGAAACTTTTGCATATTTGATTGTTGTACCAATACTGCAGATTTTTTTTTTAAGATAATGATTGGGTAGTTAAAAATAAAGAAACTAAATTTACGGATTAAGAATTAAAAGAAACCAAAAAGTGTAATAGATTTCTATTTATACAGGAAAAATCTGCGTACAAATTTGTAATGATATTTGTACATGTTCTCAAACCAGTACTGATAGCATAGCAGACTACATTATGAACTCAAAAAGATAAATCAGTAAGTGGGGCAGCATTGTATTCTTTGACAAAGACATTTATATAGTTTATAGAAGTTTGTGATTACATGATTGCACAAGTAATCATTACTCGGTTTACAAGTACATGTATCATGTATGTGCTGTACATTTACGGTCATGTCCTACCTTGCAATGCCAATCACAGGTCATATTGTGTAGAATCTCAATTTGTACTTTGAAGTTAAAATAAATAAATAAATTCTAGCAAACTTTACTTTCATTTGGTCTTTCAACGGGTTAACCAAATTGTTAGATTAATTAGGTGTAGTGTGCGTAACAGAATTGCATGAAACTGCAGTTGTTCTGTCGTAGTAACAATACTTGGAACTTGGGAGCAACACATCAATGAAAGAGTCATTCAGAGGCAAACAAATTTACACAAGCTAATACACGCCATTGTTGCCAATTTCCCCATTAATACAAGTAACTATGCAACCAAAAGACAATGGCAGTAGTAAGAAACTACGGAAGCAGCTTACATATACAAGATTTGTCCAAGATGTGCTAGTTAAGACTCAATGTTCACACCACGATGTAACATTTTAAGAGCAACAACCACTATTTTGGGATGCTTGGGGTTCTTGTTTCTGCTTTAAGACATTCCTTTTAACTGCTGTTGATCCTTCTTCCAGAAGACTAGGAGCTTCCATTATCTATGAAATGGTACAATATTAGTCATGATAGGAAAAAACAAACACAGCAAACAATCTACAATAGAATTTTATATTTTTTTCTAGCTAAAACACATACATTTCACACAAACGTTTCAATAAAAATATTATATTTAAATGTTTAAGCTTAGGTTAATTCATGACCCTACTGTCAGTTAATTGAAAAGTTGTTTTATGCACAAGACAAACAGCATTGAAGCATACTTCGAAATCTGTACCTTTAGAGCAAGTTCCTCAAAGCACTGCTCCACATTTTCCCGAGTTTTAGCACTGCATTCTAGAAGAAAACACCCCAATTCTTTGGCAAGGGCTAAACCCTCTTCTCTGCTCACAGCCCTTTCAGTATCCTATACATACAGAAATTAACCATTGCAGAAATTAATGAACTGAATAAATTAAGGGGACAATGCCCCTCAGTCATGTGAAAATCTCAAGTGAGAGGATTCATTCCTAGGAATCCTATAAAGTTGCCGGTCTATATCTTATTTTTGATAAATTTAAGCATGTTATAATCTTAACCTATGCTATATGCATTTTGCAAATGACATTAATGCAAGACAACGTCATAGAATTAGTTCATCTATCTCCACCAGATTCTTCAACAGCTTCAGAGTGTTCACTAAAATGTTAATCGCTGGCTTAATTAGGTTGCTTTTTTTTTTTTTTTTACAATATGGAAGGTTCCAGATGACAGTGCTTGCATGTAATAAGCCAGATATTCATAATTCACTGAATTGGCGTTGAGTACAACAACAAATGGAACACAAGTATGAAGTGAAAGTGATGAGGATCTATCTTCATTGTCTTAATGCAGATAAGATTAGAATCACTAGTTTCAACTATTTGAATAAGGAACATTTATTTCATGACAATTACAAATTCATTCCCTTTGATCATATCTATTCGGACTCGGTACTGAAGCATAAAACTTACTCTATCAACTTTATTTCCAACTAGCATCTTCACGCAATCCTGATTAGTTGAATAGAGTTCCACTTCCTTAGACCACACTTCTGATAAGTTTGTAAAGGTTTCTCTCCTTGTGACATCGTAAACTAGAAGTAAAGAAAACGAAGGACTCTATAAATAGAAATGATCAAATTTAAAGGATATTAACTAGCAAAAATTTGAACATATACTTTATCCACTTTAAGTATACTACAAAATTTATTGTTTGATGATCAGAAGGCCACCTTAAGCCCCAAGAAAATACACTCACGAAATTCTTCATACCTTAGAAGGGACATGAATGACAATGGCAAGAACCATGTTACTACCAAAAAGATAAAGCAATTGGAGATGTCCTTGAGAATGAGAAGGGTGTTGCTTCCCCAATTTGCAAATGTAAAACCTATCTAATAATTGATAAAAAAAAATGCAGAATTTTTTTTACTATAAACATTAACCCAAAACATCAAAAGCATACCCTGAAACCCAGGTTTGTAATAAATGTTTTAATTCCTTGTAATTTCTTAACAGCAGTCCATCTTTACTCTTGAATAACAAATATCAAGAGTATTGATGAATGTATAATGTTGAAACAGAGTTCAAAATTAGTTGCAAACACAAATTTCTCCATAAAGAAATTCTAGAGAATTCTCTGATGTGGCTGGATAAAATAATCCTACATTCTTATGCACATAAATAAATTTAGCATACCGAGAATGATTCCTTGTGCCTTTCTATAGTAAGAGCTGGTTACAGTCCTGAACCTTTCCTGCCCAGCTGCAATACATGTAATGTTATTTTTTAAGTCAATATACCCAAATTAGTCATTTTGGTCCATAAATAACCAAAACACTATATGACAGACATTTCCTTCTATCTGTTAGAATCACATGCTGCAGGGATTGAACAAAAGGTCTAATTTGAAGGACTCTGTATTACCAGTATCCCAGATCGTTAATTTCAACCTCTTGCCACCTACTGTGAGCGTTTTGATCTTAAAATCAACACCTACATATCATAGAAACGACATTGGATCATATCAAAACTCAAGTCAGATAAACAGAATGGCCAAGGCAAGAGGAACACAAATTCAATTGCTTGTCAATTCCAGTGGCATATGAACCAAAACAATAGAGCAGTTAAATCCTCCACTAGCATTAGGCAGAGACAATAACCGAAGACCAACAGATTCAAACTAAAAGTCATTTTTTTAAAAATCACAAATTTAACACTCTAAACATCAACAGTGTCACTGTAAACAATAGATCGACAAGCACGAGGCACAATGTACAAGAAAGAAGCGTGACACCAAAATCCGAAGCATGCAAAGGTTGAAGAATGAAGACAGAAATAACATAAGAAAAAAGGGTTAAATGTAGTGGATGAAATACCGATGGTGGGGGAAAGATCTTCCACAGAACTTGAAATGAAGCTGACAAGTAAGCTACTTTTTCCCACACCGGAATCTCCGATCAACAAGATCTTGAAAGAGAGATCATAGCCACTGCCCTGACCTGAGGATGAACTCATTCTCTCTTCCTCTGATGAATGTGTTACGTGTGCGTGGAAAAGTACAGTGAAAGAAACGTATGCAAAAAGTGGTGGAGAGACAGAGAGAGAGAGAAGGTTGGAGGGATGAACTAGGCAACTAGACAACGTTATGCTGTAAGGAAGTTTAATGGGGCAAGATCTTTCATTTATTTTATGTGCTGTGTGTAAAGACCAAAGAGCAGAGAGAGAGAGAGAGAGAGAGAGTAAAAAAGAAGATAATAGAAAAGAAAAAGAAAACGGCCACCCTATAGCTTAGTTCAGTTGAGGCACATACACATGACCACCTATCCTAACATCACACCCCACACCAACGTATTTATTCTTTTCTTATCTGTGTTCTGAATTCTGATACGTGTAGTGTGGTGTGTTATGTGTATTGAGTTCCCAACTCCATGCCCCACGTGCGAGGTACTGATTGGTGAGGTTTACTCTCAAAGCAATGATGCTTTTCAAAATTCAAAGCACTGGTCTGGTTTCTATTACACCTTCAAACAAGATGCTTTTTCTCTCACCTTATCGTTACTCTACCTAGTTTCCTCTCATATTAAACGGTTAAACCTTCAATCAAGGTGGTTAAACAGCATAAACCAATGAACGGAATTAATCTTAACAATGGAAATAGTTTATTTTAATAGAGTAAATCAAAGTTTAAATTTTTGTTGGAAGAAATTTTTTGTCTACTAAGACGATTAAAGACTAATTTTTACCGATAAAATATGATTCAGGTGATTTTGTTAGGAAAACAATCTTTTTTTAGGGATTTTAGGTTTTTTGGGTGGTTATGTTCATGAGAAGGAAAGATTTTAGGCAAAATATTTGAGAGTTTAAGGTCTATATCATTTTTATTCCTTTACTGTGAAAGTCAATTGCAAATTGTCATGGGTATTCAAAGAAAGCATGATAATTACAAGAAAAATATAGTGATTTGAAAGAGAGGAAGGTCAACTAAATTTAACTATTGTACTTTACTATGAAGGCTTTTATCATAAAGTTATAGAGATATACAAAAAATAATTAGTGTAAAAATAAGATTTTATAAAGTATTTTTTATGTTATAACATAAAAAGGGATGCAATTACATACTTGTAAATATATCTAAATATTTTAAGATGGATAACTTACATATCATAAAATGTTCTTTTTATAACAGGTAAGTCAACACTTGTCATAAAATGTATTGGTTAGCCTTTGATTTTAACTTTTGTATGACGAGTATTGACTTATCCATCATATGGAGAAACATTTTATGATGGATAAATCGTCACCTGTCATATAATGTTTTTTATTACTTATTGTTCCATCTTCTTCGTTCAAGCAAGTGAGGCAATTCTGATGACAAGCGTTTGTACATTGTTGAACAATTTTTTGTGACATGAATGATCATTGAAATAATTTTTGGCAAAACCCTTTAATCATTCTAGTATTCTTCTCCTTTTTGTTCTCGTTCTCACAACCATTTATTTGTTCTCATGCTCTCAGGTTCGTTCTCTTCTCTTTTTCATACATTTCGTGTATGGTGTTGGTATTATTTAATATTGTTGGTCCAACACAGGAGGAAGAGATGCAACAATAGAAAAAGAGCACGACGACAAAATACAACGAGAGAAAAAAAAATAAAACAACAAAATGTGAAGAGATGTGACAAGAGAAAAAAAGCACAACGACGAAACATGAAGAGATATGACAATGAGAAAAAAATAACGATGCATTAGCAGAATACAAAGAGATGCAACAAAAAGGGAAAAAAACACAATAAAAAAGCTATTAACCAAAAAAATAAGATTTTTTATGTTGGGTATTTTTATAATGAACATATAAAGTCAAGACCTTCTATGTCAATTATTTTTACCCATCACTAAAAGTGTTGTATACATTTGTGAAAAGTCATTGAAGCTTATCATAAATAAAAACACGAAATCATTCCTTTCAAATTCATCTAAGCAACAATGCAAACATTGATTCCACAAGTGAGGAGTCACCAAACATTATTTTAGCAATGATAGAAAATACTATATTGATCCTATGTTCATTAACACTCTT